AACTAGGAGAGAAAGGACAAAAACAACCCAATTAGAATCGAAGACAACTTACGAAGAGACAAAAACTTGCCGTAAGGACCGCCAGGAAATTTCATAGAGCCATTTAGACAAAACTCGCAGGTGGGACACCATCAACTAAGCCACCTGATCACCATACAAGTGGTGATACACCTGCGTAAAAGAGACCAGACGTGAAGATTGGAGAAGATCGAACCAGCCATGTAATGGACCGGACCAATCTGCTGAAAGAGGCTGAGCCACAGGAAGACTCATGGGTTGGACATCGAGCAAGAAGCGCCTGAAATCAAGGCTGGCCCGACCACCAAGGAGGCAACAGGGCTACGCTCCCTTGGCAAGTCTCCAACCGAGCCAGAATCCTGAGCAACAACCGGATAGGAGGGAAGTGGTACAGGAAACTCCTCCTCAACCAGTCCAGCCGAAAGGCATCGACCCCGAAGGCCACGCAGTCTGGGTCGACGCCTTGACCACGTCGATGCGATTAAGTCCACCTCTGGATACCCGTACGTCCTGCAGAGCCAACTGAACGAGTCGATGTCGATTGTCCATTTCGTGGAAGGGGAATGAACCGAGACAGGCCATCCGCGAGGACGTTTGACACCCCCAGAACATGAACCGCCAGGAGAGCCAAACTCCGAAAACTCAGCAGACGAGTCACCCGAAGCGACCAGCCCCAAAGAACCAAGGACCACATCAAACGCCCGCGGTTCAGGCAATGAACCACTGGGGCAGTCCAAATAGAGCCGAATTGTTGCACCTCGAGCGACCCAAATCCTCTGAGGCCAATGCCACACCGCCGCAAACTCCCTCACCATACTGTGAGCTTGACGGAAGGAAGGACCCCACTGACCCTGGCCGGCCTAGTGAGCACTTGTCACAAAACCCCAGCCAAGAGACGAGGCATCCGTAAACGCAGAGAGCGAGGGCTCGGGGAGGCGCCACAGCACAGAACCCCGAAAAACCCGCAGGGGAAGCCGAATACACAGCAGCTGACGTAAGGCTCCCGAGATCCGAACCAATCAATCGTGAGGGCAGCAGAAGGGACGACCCTGAAGAAACCAGAACATCTGCCGAAGCCGGATCCAACCCGATGGGTAGACCAACACAGCTAAGTTCAGGCTCCTGCACAGCCGCTCAAACAACCGACGTGTGACCCGGGTGCCCTCCAAAAACAGCCATACGCAGGACCGCAGTTGCAACAGCGTCGCAGGATGGAGACAAGGAAGCAGTCCGAGAGTCCCACACCAGACCCAGCCAAGTCTGGACCTGAGAGGGAACTAAAAGGGACTTCCTCCAGATCACCATGAACCCAAACCCGGCGCGCTGGGAAAGAACCAAATCCCTGGCGAGCAGACACGAGAACTGGCTGGGAGCCCACACCAGCCAGTCATCGAGGTAAGCCAGAACCTGAACCCCTAACAGAAGCAAACAGGTAACCACGACCCGGTAAGGCGTGTGAACACTCAAGGTGCCAGATTCAAGCCGATTGGAAGGCAATGAAAGCGGTAAGTTTGTCTCCCCACGACAAAACTGAGCCAGTCACTGAACTGTGAATGAATCGGGACGCGTACAATAACATTATAAAACCAAAGCGCGTCCCGGAGGACCCGAGACACGATCCAGGCACCCGGTGCCAAAAGGGGTGCCAAAAGCAGGCGGACCTGAGACAGAGTGGTCATCCGAAAGGAGGGGCAAAAGTCCCAATGATTCAGACTAGACAAGTCCAGTATGAATCACAGACCTTCACAGTCCCGTTTCGGAACTGAAAACAGGTGGAACCCACCTGAGGGACGTTGTCGTTTCGACCACACCCAAGCAAACCCACCCCTGGAAGACCTAACAGGACAGGAGAAGAGGCCCGCCATGCCAGCCCTGATCCCCCCGAAGGAGGAGGAGGAGGAGGAGGAGGAGCGACCCAATGCCACCACAGGTCGGAGGAAATGACTCGAAATGCCCACGAATTGTGGGACCAGGCGAGAGCAAACAGCATGAATCTCCCCCCTATCGCCCCATCAACGGGGTAACCCACGAAAGGGCTAATGACCCCTACGAGAGCCCAACCGACGCTAACAGCGATAACTGCGCCAACCAGATCGCTGACGGCTCCAGAAGAGGTGCTGGCCCTGAATCTGGCACTACTGGCTTACGACGACCTCCATGACCCACCCGGAGAACCTACAAGTCCGACAAAGGCCATCACAGGACAAAGCCGCCTGCAGAAAAAGCAGCACTGCAGACTCTGCAAACAGCAACGGACAAAAAGGTGATGAATATCTAAGAGCTAGGGCCCAAGACGATTCCAAAATTTTGACGAGCACCGCCTGTCAGCACGCGAGGTGAGAAGCGAAGAACAGACGCCGCCTACCTCAGAAACGGTGCATACAACTTCACCAAAGAAGCCGGCACCCGAGCTGCCGAAGCAAGCACACCGGACTCTGGCACGGAACCCAGCTCCTCCACACCCAGCACGAGACAGTCCGAAGACAGTTCCAACAGGAGAAAAGAAGGCAAGAACTGAAGCCAAGTGCCCACATGCATACAAATCCTTGGCCACCAGGGATGCCGAAAGGGAACCTGCATGTGAAGCCGCACCTAGCCGATATCATAAGGAAGGACGGGAGCGAACTAGCACACCTTGAGGTGCTCCAACTCACCCCCCAGGAAAACCTGAACGACAGTAAGCAAATCTCTCCATTCAAGTGCGCATTCTGACGGGACGAATGCCAAGCCCCCCAAAGAAGAAAAGGCAGTCTGACAGCCTGGAAGACTCTGGCACTTAGTAATGCACCCAATAAAGAAAAGAAGAGCCAAACTAAAAAAAGAAGGCCTCATTATCGAGGCGTAATCCAGGTCTCGCAGGAGGTAAGCCGCAAGGGGCCTCCCACACCTTCCTCGGTAGGATGTGGGAAGCCAAAAAATACTCCAGAAGGAGGGAACCGAAAAACCCAAGGGAACCCCAACCCGGGGAGGAGTCGAACTCCTAACAAAATCGTACAGGGAGAGGGAAAGCAAAAAACCCCTCCCCCAGTAACAACAAGCCCTGCACTGAGGGTACCAAACACCCAAGCAGGGACAAGTGGGGCTCAGGCCCCCCCCAAGTCAACTCCCCAGCCCTGGAATCCTCCATGTCAGGACCTGGGGCCGAGCCGTCCTCCAAACCCTCTGCCTTTGGAGAAAAAGCAGAGTCCACCGGAAAAGCAGGGATGAAGGGGGCCTGCTGGCGTGGCCCAAAATCTCCGGCAGGAGGACCAGGTGCGAATGCCTCTGCCGCCGATCCGCTAGGGGCAATCCCCGAAGCCACCTGAGTCACACTACAGTATAATTCAGCGGGGCAGATGCGGGGTATCCGGAAAGGCAACTAACCTCGCACATTGCTGCAACTTAAACCTTGCATGCAATGCTATAACTGCCTGCACCCAAATATCACAGTCTCAGTGGACTGGGTGAATGGAGTACAAACCAAGAACACCACTCGTATAACTATGGGTCATAGGTGTCACTGACCCCAACAAGCAACAAGGCGGTGGCAGATGGTGAAAGTTATCCCAAAACAGGGGGACAGAGTAACCTTCAAACTCGCACAAGGCGAGGTGGAACTCAGAGGTCTCATACATTGGACCACTGAGCCACAATGGGGGTTTCCAGTGCCTTTAGGCTGACTGCTAAGGGAAGCCCAGGCGAGGTACTGCTAACCGGTTATCCCAGAGCTACCAAGCAAACAATCTAAAAGCTGAACCCCTGCGACGTGTGCAAGCACAGGGACCTAGTGGAGGGCCACCAAAAACCTACCTGTGGTCCTACAACCACACCTGGCAGACCCCCGCCAGGCAACACAAAACAAAAGAAAAATCCCGCAAAAGCACAACGTCTTCAGGAGAACAGAACTAGTCGCTATGCGTATATCAAACAGCTGCACAGTACCTCGTGCCCCAGCTAGCAACGAAACTACCTCCTAACCCAAGGAAAACAGGAGTAAGAACCACCCCAGCAGAACCCCCAAGGGCAGGCAATCACCGAGCAGCGACAGAACCACACGGAGGTAGCAGCTCCTGAACGGCTCATGGAAGATAACCCTGAGGCCGCAAAGGCAGTACTTACGGGGCGCCCAGGGAAGGTGGCCCTAGGTGCATGCAGCCCCAGTACTCTTGTGTTACATCTGGCTCACACCACCATTAAAACAGAGCAACAACACCGCACTGCAGCACTGCGCAAAGAGTGGAGCCAGAGCGATCGACCATCACCAACACAACAGCCTCTTGAACTGAGGAGAGTTGCCGGCATGGTGGTCTGGGAAACCCCCCCCCCCCCGTTCCCCTCCTGGGGAGGAGGGGGCTGTGCAGACGGATGCGCGGCATTTGTGGTGACGCTATACCTGTTTCCTTGGTTTTGATTGGGGAGTTCTGTTGCTAGTTTGGCTTTTGGTTTGCAATTTATTTGACCAGCAGTAGTTTGTTTTGAAATTCCTACCTTTCTGGGTGCCTGACCTGGTAGATGGCAGACAAAGACTGCTTCCAATTACAGGGGGGGTGTCTTTAGGCCATTGCTCCTCGTGCCTCTCTTGAGGGGGTCAGGTTCTGGCTCTGGTCCCCGGTAGGCTTAGAACTCCTTCGAATGACTGTTGCCACAGTCTAATATATACTCATCAGCCCGATATAGCTCCGGGGAGCCGAAGGGGCTCTCCACAGAAAACCCTTATGTGAAGTAACACCTCAACCTTTGTTGAGTACCTACAGTATTGTTCGTTTAATTATTGTGTTATATTTTCAGTTGTAATTAATACTCTGTGAAGTGGAAGGATTAAATCCTGTACGACACTTTTCATGACTGCCTTGAGAGCATGACTGCCTTGAGAGCATGACTGCTCTCAAGGTGGCCACACTGGAATGGTGCACCTAAATTATACTTCAACTTTTTAATCTCCATCACTTCCAATGCCACAGCTTTACACAAGCAACAGATATATAACATACAGTATTACTAACCTGTAGACCTCTTGGTGACGGAGTGCCAGACGGTGGAGGTGGCAGTACAGTAGCAGGCGGAGATTTCGAAGACCCAGATACAACTGATCCCAATATATTAAGCCTATTGTTATTCTCAGACTCACTGTTTTGCATGAGGGTTCCAGAGCCACAACGTAACAATAATGACAAAGCAGCATTTTCCAAGTCTGCTGAATATGGCACATCATACTTGCTGGGGATAGGGGTGACCTGTTAAAGCACAAAAATTCAATGAATCCCATCTTGTCTTGTATAACTATTTAACTGTAGCATGTAATTAGACATCAAGTTAACATACCATTTTGAAAATTTTAAGGATTATGTATAACAAGTATTAACCACGTCATATTTTTTTTTTTACACCCAGATGGGTACAAGAGCAGGTGACTGCTGACTTCAGTTAGTAGGTAGAGAGCTTTCTCTTCCCACAGCTCATGGTAAGCTTTACCAACTAGTTTCCATGGAATATCACCCACCAATCATTTAAACAGGTACCCATTCACAGCTGAGTGAACAGAGGAGTACCGTTAAGGATTGGCATGCAGTCAATCCTCTCCGGCCAGGATACGAATCTAAGCAAAGCTTTATTTATATATTTTTCATAGCCTGAACTTTTCATAATTTCGTGGTGGTAACCTGGTAACCTGATCCTTTTTTTTAGGACAGGAAAAATACATTGCTTCAGCCATTTCCTTCTTCTAATGCTGCTTTCATCTACAAAAAAACAGCATTGAATGTAATGAAATGGCATTTTCTGGGTGAGACCCGGAGGCTCCCCAGAGGTTCCTCGGAGCTATCCAGGCTGATATGCTAATGTCAGACTTTGCCATCAGTCATGTGTAAGGAGTTCTGTGGGCCTACCGGGGACCACGAGCCAGAACCTGGCTCCCTCAGAAGAGGCACGAGGAGCAATTGCCTATAGAAACCCCCGTGGGGTTGGAAGCATTCTATGTCTGCCAGCGACCGGGTCAGACACCCAGAAAGGTAAGCATCCCGAAACAAACCCCAATTCTGGTGAAAATTGTGACAAAAAGCCAAACAAGTGAACAGAACTCACAGAAACAGGCAAACGAGTATGACGTAATACTCGGAGACGCGCTGCTGTCTGCGCAGATCCTCCTTTCCGGTAGGGGTAAGGTGGTGCCCCAGACCCCCAGGCACCTCTGATGTCCACCTCTCAGTTCTGAGGCTGGACATCAAAACATGCCAACCAGGAGGGAAGGTTGCCGGGGAGCCTCCGGGTCTCACCCAGAAAATGGTGTTTCATTATTTTCAAACCTGGGTTTCTGGAGGGAGCCCCATCGGCTCCCCAGAGCTACGTGCCCAAAGACGAAAACTAGAGGGATCTAACCTGGGAGGAAGAAGACGCATACACCACTACGCGAAGCGGAGACAAAAACTACAACTGCCAACCCAAGGCCACACAGGCCCGACAAGGCCCAGGAACATCAACGAAGGAACGCAGAGCCAACCAACCAACGACTTGGGCACAGTGACAGACAGCAGGCTGGCAGGACCGAACCAACCCGCAGCAACCCGAGAGAATCACACCCTGGAACAGGGAAGAAGGGAACTCGGAACAACCTAAAGCGTGACCCCAGTCACGGCAGCCGTGGCACACCAAGCACAGCGAAGTGCTTGGGGAAGGCGGAAGGAGGAAACGACCCAAAATGCCAACGAATCATGGGACAGGCAAGAGCAAACAGTGCGAGCCTCCCCCCTATCACCCCATCAACGAGGCGACCACCGAAAGAGCTGACGATACCTACTAGAGCCTGACCAACACTTAGAGTGATCATTGCGCCAACCAGATGCCGAAGGCTCTGCAGGAAGTGCAAGTCCCGAATGTGGCACTACCGGCTTATGACAACCAAAGGAACCCTGAGACCTGGCACTACCTTTCCGGACAGGACCACCACAGCGCCCCCCCCCCCCCAGAGAACCTTTAAGTCCGACATAGGCAGGCAACTAGACGAAGCCGCTTTTGTCTTTATCTACCCTGTCGATTCCCTTGAGAATCTTGAATGTGGTGATCATGTCCCCCCCTAACTCTTCTGTCTTCCAACGAAGTGAGGTTTAATTCCCGTAGTCTCTCCTCGTAGCTCATACCACTCAGCTCGGGTACTAGTCTGGTGGCAAACCTTTGAACCTTTTCCAGTTTAGTCTTATGCTTGACTAGGTATGGACTCCATGCTGGAGCTGCATACTAGCAGGATTGATCTGACATATGTGGTATATAATGTTCTGAAAGATTCCTTACACAAGTTTCTAAAGGCCGTTCTTATGTTAGCTAACCTGGCATATGCTGCTGATGTTATCCTCTTGATATGAGCTTCAGGGGACAGGTCTGGCATGATATCAACCCCCAGGTCTTTCTCTCTCTCTCTCTGACTCTTGTAGTATTTCATCTCCCAAATGATACCTTGTATCTGGTCTCCTGCTTCCTACCCCTATCTTCATTACATTACATTTGCTTGGGTTAAACTAACAACCATTTGTTCGACCATTCCTGCAGCTTGTCCAGGTCTTCTTAAAGCCTCAAGCTGTCCTCCTCTGTCTTAATCCGTCTCATAATTTTGGCGTCGTCAGCAAACATTAAGAGGAACGAGTCTCCCTCTGGGAGATCATTTACGTATATCAGAAACAGGATAGGTCCGAGTACAGAGCCCTGTGGAACTCCACTGGTGACTTCACGCCAGTCTGAGGTCTCACCCCTCACTAACTCTCTGCTTCCTATTGCTAAGGTAATCCCTTATCCACTGGAGCACCCTACCAGTTACTCCTGCCTGTTTCTCCAGCTTATGCATCAACCTTTTATGGGGTACTGTGTCAAAGGCTTTCCGACAGTCCAAAAAAATGCAGTCCACCCATCCTTCTCTTTCTTCCTTAATTTTTGTCACCTGATTGTAGAATTCTATTAAGCCTGTAAGGCAAGATTTACCCTCCCTGAACCCATGTTGATGGGTTGTCACAAAGTCGCTTCTCTCCAGATGTGTTACTAGGTTTTTTCTCACAATCTTCTCCATCACCTTGCATGGTATACAAGTTAAGGACACTGGCCTGTAGTTCAGTGCCTCTTGTCTGTCACCCTTTTTGTATATTGGGACTACATTAGCAGTCTTCCATATTTCTGGTAGGTCTCCCGTTTCCAGTGACCTACTATACACTATGGAGAGTGGCAAGCAAAGAGCTCCTGCACTCTCTTTCAATACCCATGGTGAGATTCCATCCGGCCCAACATCCAGCCCAACAATTGGGCCTATTGCAACAACAGCAACAGTCCCAATTTATTCATCTCCTCATAGTTTCCCTTTCGGTACGCCAGCCCTTTGTTTCCCAGTTCTTTTTTGGGGGTGATAATTCCTAGCTCAACCAGGTACTCAAAGCTCAATACACTATGATCACTCATTCCCAGGGGGGGTCTTCCAACTTATCTTCCCTTATATCCAACTCATTTAGGGTAAATATCAGATCAAGTAAGGCTGGTTCATCCTCTCCTCTCATTCTTGTCGGTCCCTTGACGTGTTGACTTAGAAAGTTTCTTGTTGCCACATCCAGCAGCTTAGCTCTCCATGTGTCTGGTCCTCCATGTGGGTCTCTGTTCCCCTAATCTATCTTCCCATGGTTGAAGTCTCCCATGATTAGTAGTCTGGATCCAGTCCTGCTAGCCACAGAAGCTGCTCTCTCCATTATATTGATGGTGGCCAATGGTAGGGGGGGTGGATGGATTCTGGTGGAGACGGGGGTGGATGGATTCTGGTGGAGACGGGGGTGGATGGAATCTGGTGGAGATGGGGGTGGATGGATTCTGGTGGAGACGGGGGTGGATGGATTCTGGTGGAGATGGGGTGGATGGATTCTGGTGGAGACGGGGGTGGATGGATTCTGGTGGAGACGGGGGTGGATGGAATCTGGTGGAGACGGGGGTGGATGGATTCTGGTGGAGACGGGGGTGGATGGATTCTGGTGGAGACGGGGGTGGATGGATTCTGGAGGAGACGAGGGTGGATGGAATCTGGTGGTATTTGCTCTCAGTAAGCCAAGATCATCTCTAATGCATGGCTGTCTACCACGGCCTTAAGGTGCCTGGGGCCAAAGTGACTAACAATCACTGTCTACCAGTTATTTCAGGTAATTATGAAGGGCTGATGATAGATGCTGTAAGTCTTTTGAATGCTTTTTCTCAAGTTCAATGTGTTGCTTCTAGTGTTTTGAATCCTGTTTTAACTTCAAGACAAGCAGTCTTTTTTTTTTAATATGCATGCTACACCATAGGACAAAACCTGAAATCTATGAAATCAGACTTATGACCAAAAAGAATTAAATACAACAGTACACTAAATCATGATAAAACCCACTAAGTTGTATATACAATATAATATTTTAGCTGAAATATGCTGGGTTTTATAATGATGAAGTGTGACTGACACTGTTCAGCCTTACAAAGTAAATACATACTAATATTCACATTGCGATCCCTTTTAAATTCCTTTTTTAGTACTATAATTAATAGTTACTATATTTTTGTGACAAATTTGAATAGCGTTTTCCTTTTGCAAACTGAACTCGCCTTGTTAGGAATGGATCCTTCCTCAATGCCATCATCAGCATGATCTGAATCCTCAGGTTTCCGTGGAGAACTGAAGGAGTCCGGCGTCAGAAGGTTCATGGGAGGCTGAAAAAAAAAGAGCGTTTGTCAACTGCTAATTGGCTAAATTATGGAAAATCAAAAAAACATCTAGCTTTCTTTTACTAGGTTAAGAGAACAAGTATTCTGCATAATTTTGGCTTATCTTAATTGGCTTTACTTGTAATCAAGTGAACAGATTCACAAGTTAGAAGCATAATTCTACTTCATCTGGAACAAATATCAAGAAACTTTTACTACTGATTTCTAGTTTTATTCGCAAACTAACTTTACTTAGCTCCTAGACGGTGGCAAAAGTCAACTGATGTTTGTGCCACAGGATCACACTGAAAACTAAATGAATTGAGTTCTGAATATCAGTCACCAAAATTAGAAGTACTGACATATCCAACTAATATTACCTAGTAAGAAGATAAAAGATGTTAATATATATAATTAAAAGTAACAAATTAAAAGAGTGTTGGCACATGTGGCATCAACACACCCGAGAATAAGAAAAAAAATCAAGCGTTGAATGTAACGAAACACTTTTCTGGGCAGCTTCAGTAACTCTCTGGTGCACTGTCTCTGGTACCACAGATACATCCACAAAACTACCAGGCTTCTGGATTTACACAGGCCTATAGGACACCAGGACCAGTATCCAGTGTGCTCTTAGAAGCAAGGGGAGTATGGGAATCTAACATTGACCCGACCCCCCCCCCCCCCAAAAAAAAAAGTAAAGCAAAATAAACTATTTATTTAATTAAAGAGAATGGAAAAGCTGAAAGGACTGCCAAGCAACCTCATACTAGTGCTAAGGATGGAAATGCAGCACTAAGAGAGCTATTAATGGTCTGCATAAAGGTGGTAGTACAAATGGCTCAAGAAAACTAAAAGCATATATTTGTAGACTCTGAATGATCCAGGAAAGTATGGCCACCAAAATCTTGGAGGAGACAGAGACTTGGGACCAGAAGAGAATGGGAATGAGTGAGAACCATTCCAATTCTCCTTAGGAGGAGAAACCATCCTCCTTAGGAGAAACCATCCTCCTAAGGAGGATGGTTTCCTTAGGAGGAAACCATCCTCCTAAGGTTTCCCAACGTCAAGAAACCGGTCAATTTAAAGTATCCTCTCCTAATCTACCCGAGAACCCAAAACAGAAAACGGGTTGTATGTCACTTTCAGTATGTCACTTTCGTGACCCACTTTCATTTTCTAGTTTTGTTTTCACAGTTTTTGGCCTTGTGTAACACATATGAGCGAAAAGTAACGTTCTTTGTAAGTGGACAGGTTGGGGAACAAGGCTAAACAAGTCACAGAGGAGTTAACAGAATGATGCAGTCCACACAAGTTTCCATTCAGATTGAACTAGCACGGGGCCAGACCAGAGGAAAGAGGTAAACGAAGTCCCTCCATTCTAGTCCAGCCAAAAAACATTCACTGCAAATACCTCACAATTGGGAAAGGAACGGGAGCAACAAAGAGGCAACCAATGCTTCCATGCCATGCTGAAGCGATCCACCTTTAGATAGTAGAATGTCTATTAAATCCCCCTCTCATTCTGTCAAAATAAGACAAGAGCCTGGAGAGAACATTGAGAAAGTTGAATACTCCCTGAATGTGCAGCCCATCCTCATAAACAAGGGCCAAAGTCCACTCCATGCACCTGCCAAACCCCGTTTATGAGTGAAAAACGGTTTGCACACGATTTACAACTGATGAAGTTAGAACACTTCTTGAACAAGTGCTTTGCTGATGGCTTTTCTTTGAACCACAACGCTGTAAATGCTTTATCCACCTACTACAAATAATTGCCAACAGAACACCTAACCTAAACAATGCCTAAAAATGCACAGTATGGAAATACTGTATATAACTATTGTAGCGAGTAAACTTATACTCGCTCCATTATCTCCATCTTAATGGCTTAACTAATTAGCACTAACTACACAAGCTATAATCCTATCCCTATTTACAGGTAACAGTTTTTCCACTCTCCTATCTTACTGTGAGGTGTAGTCACCGTATATAAGCAAGCGATTTGAAATGTAGTAGCAAACGGTACAAGTTCCAGTCAAGAATGTAGCACTCGGCGCAGGCAGTTCTAATCGTCTCCAAGATGCTACAGCTTCAACACAGAACAGGCAGCTGACTAGGATCACATCCAGCTACAACGCTCTCCCACACAGAGCTCCTCGACTCAAGCCACAATCGACTCTCTGCTCTGCTTCAAGCTCCGTCTAAACGTCTACGACACTGCTGTATCCAGGACTACTAAATAAATATGAAACTCGCTAAATACTGTAGCTAATCTACCCAACAACATAACAAACATACGTTACACTATATTGATTTATATTTGAGAAAATTCCTATTTTGAATGAACAGCATGTTAAAATTGATGAATGTGTCTTTGGGGTCAACTGCTGGATGGAATGGACTTGGTCTGAGGACAGGTTGGAATGTGGGCCACATTGAGGACTAAAAACTAAGAAGCCAGAAATGAGACTATTCTCAGAGTACACACTCACATGGGACATGGGAAGGGAGCAGTTGCAGTCCCCCTCCCCTCTCGAGGAAATGGACCACTGCTATGCAATCCAAGTTTAACCGAATCACAGAGCCCTGCTGCAGACGGATGCACTAAAGCATAATTAAAACTGCCACAAACTCCCTCACTGTGATATGTGTAAAGCAAAGGCAAATGGGACAAAAATTTTACCAATGTGGTGAGAGGTGGACACAAACCCTAGCCAAATCTCGAAAAGTCTCACCAGCTCTAACCCTTTGGCTGTGCATCTTATCAGGTGATTTGGGTGGCAAAATAGTGTATACTCAAACTGCACATCCCATCAGGTGAAGTGTTAGGGAACCACATAAGATTTAAAAGTCCTGTACATTCATAGGGCTTGCATTTGCTTCCTCAAACCTCGAGTAACCATGCTCATCTTGAAAAAATCACAAGTCCCTCACTTTCCTTCTAGGGCCTTATTAGAAAGGACCATGTCTAGCACATCATTGGAGGGGTGACAGGGAGACTTTTGCCATGGATGAAAATTTGTCCAACTGACAGACACGAGTGTGTTAATCAGAGACAATGCATCTAACTGGAGGAGTGTTACTAGTGGATTACCAGGGTTCAATTCTTGCACAAGTAATGTTCATCATTTACATAAACAATCTACCAAAAACAATTCAAAATTATATGAACATGTTTGTGGATAATGCAAAGACACTGGGGAAGACTAGAGATGCAGATGATTGTTAATGCCCTTCAAATCAATAAAAAAAAATAAGTGCCTGGAGTGTCATGTGGCAAATGGAATTCAAGGTGAATAAATGCCATGTTATGTCATGTGGAATTGGAGAAAATAGAAGACACACAACTTGCAAATTATGTAGAAAGGAATTACAGAACTCTAATAAAGAATGAGACTTAGGGGTGGTTTTGGATTGTAAGATGGAGAAGCTGAAGCAAGCTGGAACTGTCGCCAAAAGAACACAAAGAACATTGTGAGAGGAGCGTATGCATCGCTTTCCAACTTCAGACTTGCTTTTAATTATAAGGATGGTAAAATACTAAAGAAACTGTTCATGACTTTTATAAGATCAAAACTGGAATATGCAGCAGTTGTATGGCGCCCAAATCTCAAAGAGTACATAAACTGGAAAAGGTGCAACGGCATGCTACAAAATGGCTTCGGGAACTGAAAAATAAGAATTACAAAGAGAGATTAGAGGGGTTAAAAATGCCAAAACTGGAAGATAGGAGAAAAAGAGGCGATATGATACTAACTTACAAAATACTAACAGGAATCGACCAAATTGACAAAGAGGAATTCCTGAAAGCAGCAACATCACAAACAAGAGGATACAGATTCAAGCCAAGGAAACAAAGTTGTAAAAAAAAAAAAAAATCTTTTGCATACAGTGGTAGATGCTTGGGAGAGTTCAGTAGCTGATACAGGACTAGGAGAGTAACATATGGGAGATAAGTCTATTACATTCATTTATTGCCATAATTACTATTATATATATTTTGACATGACTATACAATCATATTCTATAAGTTAACTTTACCATCTGTGTTTTTATATTATACTGTTTTGAATATATAGCTATCATATTGTGTATCTATTCTTCAGTCCTAAACGAAGATTGTTAATTATGTGCTCATTACCTATTAAGGGGTTATACTGGTGATTCGCTATTGAGAACAGCAGTTGTGTCGTATCCCTAGATGTAATTAAAGTTTGGCTGCTGTAGAGTCACGAGCCGTAACGTACGATAGGTAACAAAGAGTTATGGGGGCCTGTGCCGGGAAATATTGTCCCACTTAACTTAACTATGCTAATCTAACCTTGCCTTCCTAGGTACCAGTGTCAAGTGTCTCTGTGTGTTTCTTAAGAACTATTCCATGTGCCAAGCAAGCCTTCCTGTGTGTCAAGTAACAACGTTTCACGATTTTGAGGTAAGTCATCCTATATATTTTGTTTGTGCAGTGAGGCCAAGCGAATTTTCAGTGTGGTGACAATTTTACAGTGAAGTGTAGTGCAGTGCCATTGTGTTAATTAATTTTGTGAATCAAGTGCCAAGTGTTAGTAACGATGGAGGAGAAAGTTGCAGCGTTGGTGGCTCACCCAGACTTTGAAGGGATTCAGAACCTTAAAAAGACTGAGTTAATACAAATGGCAAATCAGTTGGATTTGACCGCCAGCAATAGAATGGTTAAAGCCCAAATATTGAAAGTCATTGTGACGCATTTTGTTGAGAATGGGGATTTAGATGAAGAAATTCTAGAGGAGTTAAGAGAGGAGTCAAGTGATCAGATGACGTTAAAGCGTCTTGAGTTAGAAGCTCGCCAATTAGAGCTTGAAGCTCAAAAAGAACAGAAAATATTAGAGGCTGAAGCTCAGCAAAGGGAGCTGGAGACTAGGCGTTTAGAAATTGCGGCACAAAACCAGAGAGGTTTAATTGAGTTGCAACTTGAAGCCACAAAGAAGCAACAAGCCGAGGAACAAACTAGGCAATTAGAGATTCAA